GCAGATAATTTGGATAACTTTGTCAAGGTAAGCATGCTGTTGTAACTTCTGTTCCACACATCTTCTGCAGAACGCAGAGGAACAGCTCATCTCATCAATTACACATACGGCCATGCTGTAAGCCATACATCCAAGTCTAAAGTTGCGGGTGTCCAATGAGACAAGGTGGTGAATTATTGATGCCGCCCGGTCAGTGTTGCATGTGGCATCCTCTTTATGAGAAGGTATTGGTGTTCACAACAAAAGATATAAAATATTCTTTTAAAACAGGACACATAACTGGCTAAAATAAAAAAGGAACATGTTAGAGATATTTATGAAAGAAAAGCTAAATCCTATAAATGTAGTAAAGCTGCTTTTTGAACAAAACATAGGCCTTTTTTGATAAATTAGAGTCAAAGATAAATGTTTTCTTGGTGGAACCCAATTTGATTATTATTAACCAACAGAAGCTGCTGCGTTGAGGGGATCTGCTTTTAATTACACATATTCTTAGCAGCTCAGGGGGGTTAAAGAGGTGTTCCAGTTCCTCTGGGACAGCTGGTAACCATGTCACCAACCGTGCAAAGTTACCAGTTCCTTCACTGTGTAATATACATGCTTCACCCTCTGATGGGTCGTGTCATCATGTTGAAGTTTAAACACTCAGGCTGACATCAGCCTCCAGGCCATATCCATCTCAACCCTAATTTATAATAAGAATAAACAAATATTGCAGGTGATCAGTATAAAGCACATTTAAACAGAACCCAACAGAAATAGATTAAAAAATATATATATTTCCATACTTTGATAAAACAGTGCATTTGAATGTCTGAATATGCATGAGAAAGCACCCACTACCTAAATCTGACACCTTTGGTAATAGCGCGTGAGATGACCCACAGAAGGACTTGATACTAAGCATGCAATCTTATCCCATGTCGGTCCAGCGTCCACAATTCCTTTTTTCTATTGGTTGTAGGCCGGTTATCAACATCTTATTTGTGCTTCAGTGACTCTGTGGGCACACCACCTGACTGCGGTGTAGTGTGTCCTTATTGCACAGCTTAGAGCGTGGGTTTGAAGGGCATTGTTGCTGATGTATCAGAGGGAGGATTACTATATAAGGCCCAGACGGCTGTGAACCTAAATAGCACCAGAACCTAAAAAGAGGTTAAAGTAAATAGACGAATGCTGCAATCAACCTGAATAGGTTGTTTCACTGTTAAAAATAACTAGAAAAATAAGCATTTGAGCATAAGCCTAAAAAAATATTTACTTCATCATTTTATCAAGCATTTTTGAGACAGGCACAGATTGGGAGTTGTACAAGGATGGCAGGAAATGTTATGAGCATGGGTGTTTCTAAACAGGAGCCAACAGGGGCCAGCGCCCCCATTGAACTGGTCTTGCTTAGGGCCCTGTTAGGGCCCCCAGCTGAAAATGTGCACAACAAAAAATTAAATATAATTAACTACATTTTTTCTTGAAATAAGTTTATTTTCCCTTGATTTGAACAGGTAAGTTAGAGAATATTACAAATGACTAAGATGATTTAAATTTAAAATATGAAAAAATATAACAGGAACTGGAAAGTCTAAAGGAAGGATCACAGAGATAAGTTCAGGGACCATGGGAAATGAGACTGCGGCTTGGATTATGTTGGAGAGGGACTCACGTGTGAGGGGACTCTTGTCAATCCTTGAATCCAGTCTGTTTGGGATTATCCAGAGAAGAGGGAACTCGTTGCAGAGCGGACAGGTAGACATACGTAGGACCAGGAGGAGTAATGGAGCGGACTGTCACTTGGATTTTCGATGGGGACTTGAACGGATCATGTGGAGGTTTTCCCCTGCTCCGTGTAAACTCAGTAATTTCTTCCAGAGGGAGAAGGTCCAGGTATCCAGTTTTCACAGGAAGGCTTCCTGCCAAAGAGCAAAGACAAAAAACACATAAGACTCAGAGAAACAAAGCTAGGTTAGACTCTGCTAATCTCAGCTTGGCTAGAGTACCCAAAACTTGCAAACACTCTGGCGTTAAGGTAGTGACAGCCCACAGCTCAAATACTCCTCCAGTGATGAACCACAGAGCCGCAGGTGTGCAGGGAGGCCCAACGAGGACAGGGCACCACCTGGTGGTGGAAAGAGAGGAAACACACAAACAACCCCCACAAACTGGATTCCTAACACAATCGAGTCCCATTCACCAGGTGGAAAATTAGATAATAATCAACATCAATTTGTGATAAATGTTCCAGGTCTTAAAATAGGCTAAACTCACTTCTGACCTCATTTTTCACATAAAAGTGACTCTAGATTGAAAAAGAATATGTAGCAATAGATTCTAGTTTGAAGTGCAAAATACACTGGGGGTTTGTCATTCTTTTATGGTAAGACAACTAATTATTATAAGTACAAGCTTTTTATGAAATTAATTCAAATAAAAAAGTTATACACCCAGACAGAGCGATTGGACACTACTGTCTTTGGGGGACACAACTAGAGAGAAATGCACGTTAACAGTTTACACCTGAAATCTTCATTGTTTCCAGTGAGCAATCAACTAGCTAGAGCAGGGTAGGTGTTCTAATAGCAAGGAACAATGATTTTTAAAAGTTATATAAACATACATTTTAATGCAAATTCAAACATTTCTGATGCATGTCTGAAAAAGCAGGTCAACGTCCACAAGCGCCTTTTAAAAAAAACTACATCAAATAGTATTTATCATTACAATTTGCCTCCATCCATGTTGATTCAGTCCTAATTCACCTGGTGTCCTCTGATTCAGTCTTAGCCCTGCCCTGGCATGGACTGTATTCTAATATCATATTAGATAATCACTCTATAATGATGAAGTTTCTTCTGTTAAAGAGGATGTGACAAGATGATGAAGCCTAACAGAAGAGACCCACAGAATTTCCTCCTCCTTTTCCCCCCTTTTCTAATAATTTTTCAGGTATTGAATTAAAAAAATAAAAATTCTAAAAGCTTTAAACTCACTCTTTGGTTTGGATCATAATTCTTTCATTTTAAGGTTTGGTCATAAAACATTTAAAAGTTTGTAAGAACAGAGCGTTGTGTCAAACTCAAGTCCTTAAAGGCTGACAAACTCCAACACCTGAATTGAAAGGCTGAGTTACCTCCTCGTGAACTTGTTGATAGTTGTCCTGCTATTGACCTACTTATGTGATACAGTTGAGATGGTAGGACGCCGAGTGTCGTCAGTGTAGTCTGACACATGTGCTGTAGAGTAATAATAATGTTATAATAGCTTTTCTGACGTGTAGGGCTCAGGTATTTGTTACCAATTTTAATCGTTAGCTCGTATAACATTTCACGGTTAAAATAATTAACATTATTTCCGTTGCTTTTCAAATTTTCAAGTCACTTTTTGCAACCAAAACAAAATAAAGTCAGGTGATAATCTCAGAATAGTACTGTATGCTTGGGTAGAGCAGGTCTCATTATGCAAATGAGGAGGACGCTGCAGTTTCTGTTGGGGACGATTGAAGATAATATGCAAGTAAAGTTGTCCAAATGTTCAGGTAACAGAAACGCATGTTCTTCCAGAGCATCCACACGACTACGTCAGGAATTCGCTTCCTGTTTTTAGATAAAGCTCCTATATGTCTCAGCTCAGCTAACAGATAACCTCATGGGGGGGTAGACATCTTTGTTTTAACTGTGGCTGGCCTGGTAGCATTTAGATTCTATACAGTCCAACCAACCAACAGGCAGTAGCTTTCCCATTAAGATTGCCCTTTCTCATTTGCATAATGAGGCAGAAATACAAACAGAAGTGGAAAAATGACTGACGAGTAAGACATGGAGTAAGGGGAAAAAAAAGGACAAAAAATAAAAGGCATACACAGAAATAAACACATACAAAACATACGGTAAGTACTTAAAGCTACAGTGTGTAATAATTACAGGGATATACATTCAGAAATGTAATATATTATACATAACTATGTTATTTTATCATCATCTACGAGCTCAGCCTCTTAACCTTAATATTTGCGTTGCCTTAGAATTCATTATTTATATTTACATAGGAGCGGGTCTCGCAGCCATGGAGGCAGACATCTTTGCGCTACGGCAGCGCAGAGCCAACAAACTAGCGATTGCGAGATCGCCAAAATGTCACAACGATGTAGAAAAAATAACGGGTATATTTATTATCTTAAGTCTACATAAAATCTATACCCTACACAGACTAATGAAATACTATCTGTAAAATTATCTATGTAAACAAACCTCATCACTTCAGAAGGTAGGTGATGCGGACGTGTTGGAAGACATTTTGTCCCGTAACGCTCGCCGTACTGTTGGGGGGGAGAAGCGGTGGGGGGGAGATGTTCATGTTGCTGCAGTCTGCAGTCTGACCGCTAGATGTCGCTAAAAGTTACACACTGTAGCTTTAAACAGAAAAGCTTGATTTTATGTCTATGGATGTATTGAGAAGGCTGCTCAGCCCTGCAGCAAGAAGAATACGGGTTTGATTCCCAGCCTGGGGTCTTTCTGCATGGAGTTTGCATATTCTCCCTGTGTGTGGGTTCTCTCCGGGTACCCCGACTTGCTCCCACAGTCCAAAAACATGACTGTTAGGTTAATTGGCGAGTTATATTCTCAGGCTAATTTGGACTCCTGCATATATCATCTAAGGAATGTTCTGCAGCTCACTAGCCTAAACCTATTACATGCACAACTAGATCTCCATCTAGTGTTCAAAGGGTTATACTTCATAATGGTGGAATTATGGGTAAAAAAAAAAACACTGATGCCCTACCTAACCAAATATTGCATGTCACTTAACATTATACGACTGTTGCTCTGATAATTATTCACATGGACATACTCTATGCATCATTTCCTTTTTCCTTTCCTGTTTCCAGGAAATGCTGGATCTCCCTGCCTGTTTCCAGCATGCAGGCAGTGTGGTGGGGGAATTAAAGTGACACAGCAATTGAACAATGTGGAAGCAAATCAGAGCAGCTCACAAGAGTGAGATCTTTAAAGGGGGAGTAACCCATTAGCAGACAACTGAGCTTTAGGATCTTTCCAGACCTTTATCAACCGAGAGGAAAATTTTACCGTAGAGATAAGATACAGAAAAAAATCATTACGCAGGGGTCTGACTGGATGTTTTTGTTCTCTTGCTTTGCACTCAGTTCCTTTGTGAGGCACAGATGGACAAGCAGCTGATGCAGAAGACAGTTTTCCTCTCTGCGCACTCATGCAAGGACCTGAAGGCATCTTGAAATAGAAATTCAAAGGAGGAGGAGGACAGAAGGGAGAGAGAGGGAGAGGGGGGACTAGAGAGAGTACTGCTATGCAAAGCTCAATACGTAGCATGGCTGTACAGAAGAAGCAGAGTGAAATCCCTCCATCGCAGGGACCACTTTCTACATGTACCATTGAGAGCCAAAGGGCTGGAAGCAGGTCTGAAGGAACAGGAGGTTAGTGTCTCTATGCTTATTCTGAAACAATGTTGTAGATTCAGATTAAGAACATTATTTCAAACCCAAATGAGGAAAACACAGGCACAATATCATAGTGTAATAGTCAGCCATAACCAGATCTAACAGTTGGATGATTTAACTCTCATGCACTCTTTTTTTTGTTTATTATATAAATGGTTATTTGTCAGGTGCTGGCCTATTTTACACAGCCTGTTAATAATGGCTCTTTTATTTAGATCTGACCTGAAGGCCAGCATGTTTAACAGCTTCTATCTGGGCTGCTTGTTCAAGCTGATTTTTTTCAAGGCTTCTACATCCATGACATCACATGCTGAACTAGAACATTTCTGTTTACAGCTGAAGGCTGATGAGAATAGGAGGGTAAAAATGGGCATTAAAATATGTAAACAAGTGATTTCTTTTTCACAGGGAATGGATCTTATATCAAACCAAGCTCTCAAACAAAGAAAACAACCTGTCCTGCCATCAAGTCCATCCAAATCTGCGGCAATGTTAGCCCACGGCTCTTTGCAGGTTAGTTTGGAAAGCCAGCCTGAAGGATAAGAGAAGAACGGCCTGTTTTAGGACCTCCAGGCCAGCAGGCGGCGTCATACAAATCCTTAAACTGTCACACACTCAGTGCATATTTACCTCACACATTTCAGAAATTGTATACAATTATAAATAATTTAACCTACACTGTCTGTTGTAGAGAGATTTATTATGACTATACTAAATAATGTTTAGATACAGGCAGGGCGGAATTTACCTTTAGGCAAAACTAGGCAGTTGCCCAGTTGCTAATGAAACTCCATTTAAATGTATGGTTAATGCACTTATCTGTGCACTTTTATTATGCTTTTGATAAAAATCCTTTTTGTAGAATGCTATCATAATGCATTCAGTGTCCACCACATTGGATCAGTCCACTTGATGCGCATGTGCAGAAAGCTCCAAACAGACAGCAGCAAACCATTTGAAAACAAATGGTGCAAACAGCAGTGTTGCAAACTTATCTCTTTTGTCACTATATTGAGCAACCTTTCAGACCCCTCTAGCACTTTCATTTTTTAAAGCATCTAGTACCAAATCTGGTGACTTTATTCTGTTACTGGTGACTTTGGTGACAATATATAAAAGCATAGAACTCTGCTCCCCAGAGCAAGAAGATTCTCCTCTATCTTGCCTGCTGTCATGATTCATGCAGCTATTATTTAATTTAAATGTAAAAATGGAGAACAGATAAGCAGACCATGGCTTGTCAACAGAGAAAAGAACAACTGTCTTATTTACTTTTGCTGTCCCCTTTTTGGAAACACAGGAAGAAGCAATCAGCTAAGTAGTGATTGGAGAAATCCTTCATTTCTTTTGAGACAACATGAAATATCCAATGAGCACATTGCCAAAAAAAAAAAAGAAAAGGAAAAGAAGAGAGGGAGAAAAAGGTAGAACAAATAATGTATGTCTATTCTATTAAAATATCCAATGTCTGCCTCTGCCTGGGCCCCAACTTTCCAAAATCAGCTCCTGTCAGTACTTTTGTAGGACAGTTTTTCCAAAATGAGGGCCACCAAGGGGCGCCCTGAAAAAGGACAATAAGATAAACATATACAAAAACAAAAAATAAATGTCATTTTTCTTATTATTAAAAATGTGTTAACCCTTTTTGTAAATTATCATGAAATAGAGCTTGATATATATATTTTTTCTATTGAGATGATAAACTCAGGGCTCATTGTCTGTGGCTCACTTCTGTCAGTGAGCCCCAGGGCAGCTGTGGCTACAATGTAGCTTGCCACCATCAGTGTGTGCGTGAATGAATGTAGTGTAAAGTGCTTTGGTCAAGTTACCTGACTTGAAAAAAGGCGCTATATAAGTGCATGCCATTTACCATTTAACAGTTTGTTTAAACCTTTTGTTATCGGATAATAATAAAATACAGTGAAAAGAACATTTTAGTTGATATCCTTATGCTAAATAAACGTTATATTTTTTATAAGTGCAAACTGCGGGTGCTTCCCAGTCAGAAGCTGAGGCTGTTTATGAACTCCTGGTTTAAGGAATTTGATTAAGAAGTCTGTATTTCTCATATGTTATAAGCAATCCAGTCAAAATGGGTCCAAGAACTTAAACTAATGAAAACAGATTACAATCATATAAATTCTGATGAAGATAGGAATCTGATCTCTGACCTGTTTCTCTGACTGTGACTAACTGGATGTGCTCTCTTCATCCTCTGACATGGGAGCTGGCTCGGAGCTGGTTTACAGCTGCCTTTTGTACCTCTGTCTCCTTGAACCCCAGTCAGCCTCTGCAGATGTCCGCTCACACTGACCCTGGTTCTGCCGGAGTCTTCCTGTTAAAGGAGGTTTTTCCTCTCTACTTTCGCCACAAGCATGCTTAGTATAAGGGACTGCATCCGAGTCAACGAGTCAATGCAATAAACTGGTTTTCCTTAGAAAATCAATTTGGTGAACTGTAAAATGCCTTAAGATGACATGTGTTGTGAATTGGCGCTATATAAATAAACAGAATTAAATTTACTCTGAGATATCTAAGATGTATATACTTTATGTGGGATTGAATTGTGGAAATAAAAAAGGCTTATCTCCATAATTATTGACAACAACATAACTAGGTAGACAATGAATATTTGCGTGATGATTTAAGTACTTTTAGGGTATGAAATATTTCCTTTACTGATTAAAAATGATAGTGCAAATGGAGGAAATGAATAGTCAAGTTTAGCCAAAATAAGATACCTTATACATTTGCTTTGCATTCTACATTATAAAGTGATATAATTGAATACATTAAAAAGTGAGAATGTGGTTTCAACAAAAAATACATCTTTTAATCACCAATTTTATATTTTAAAGAAACTTTTGACCCAAATATTATCTTAGTTTGAGATATGTTAAATTATTTTTAAGGTCAATATACAGCAGATGGCGTGTATTGTTGGTCTGTGGCAGTGATCTCAAAAACTCGCCAGTGTAACTTGAAAGGGTCAGATCCTTCATTGAATGGGTCGTGTGACCCAGAGGCAGTCAGAGCTCCCCTAAAACATCAGAGCTAACTTTGCTAAAAAAAAATGTTGCTAGGCAACTAAACAGACATGACATAATTAGCATCTCTGCTCTAGGATTTGATCTGGAGGGGTGAATGTTGCCTTTATGGATGTGGTCTCTATGACATCTTAATCTGCTGGTCCACAGTGCTCACAGCCTCCACAGAGGGACACTGTTTCATTTTGCAACACTCAGGTGATGCTAGTTTCCTCCAGGGGCCCTAAACCTGGAAGTTACAGGTGTAGCATGCCCAGTAACTAAAAGTTGATATTGCTAGTTGAAGTTCTAATTTCTGATGCTTGTGTCTCATTGATAAAAACATTTTGAAGATAATTTTCAGCAATAATCATTTGTATTTTACATTGTAGCATGCTTACTGTTGGGTTTTTTTAGGAAGACAATCTGTCCAGGGACAACATATGAAAAATAGCCTTTTCGCTAATTCTGGTGCATTTGCAGGAACGCTTTTTAATGTACACTGTCCCTGTCAAATAAATAAATAAATTAAATTATATATTATTGTCCGTCCTTGTAAGCCCTACAGATCAGTTTTTGCAAGTAATTATATCTCAATTGCAATAGTTGTGTGCCTGCGATGAACTGGTGACCTATCCAGGATAGAACCCGCCTCTCTCCCGTAGATAGCTGGAGTTAGGTACCAGCACCCCTCGCAACCCCAGTTAGGATAAATATGACAGAAGATGGATGGATGGATGGATATCTCAAGTGCATTTTATGTTGTAAACAACTAGTTGAAGTGTCAATTTTTATTGGGAGTGTTGGTGGTTATAGCAGTGCGCTTGTGCTCGAGAAGATTGCAAGTTCCCGGTTCGATCCCCACAGCCCCCACTCTGGGTTCCGGAGCAAGACCCTTAACTCCACACTGCTCCCTAGGCGCCACACAATGGCAGACCAGGGATGGGTCAAATGCAGAGAAGAATTTCCTCACTGTGGGACAATAAAGGGATTTACATTTACATCATTCATAGCTAAGGCCACTTTTTAGTTGTAAAACATACACAAACGAAAACTGTTCCTGTGCTAGTCAGCCCACCATAGCAGATTATGCTTGGGCCCTTAGACAACCTTGAGTTGACACTGCAGGACTCTAACAACAGCATGTTTGTTTCAAACGCCGTCACAGAAATCTCCCCTGTACTTTTTTCCAGTTGCTTTTTCATGACTTTTAACTGTAAAACCCTTTTACTGCCTGCAGGTAATGGACTGAATGTTGACGAAAGACTCAGAGCAGCTCGAGAAAGAAGAGAAGAGCAGCAGAAGTTGCTGGGTATGCATCACCGCCACAACGACCCCTCACAAAAAAAAAAAAAAATCTACACACATATACTATAAAACTATTCCTACCGCTTAATTCCCTGTCAGTCTCTCGGGAGCTGAGCCGACTGGAGCGGGAACAGCGAGCCAGACGTTACTATGAACAACAGTTACAGGAGCGAAGGAAAAAACTCCTGGAGCAGAGGCTCAAAGAGGAGAGGAGGCGTGCAGCTGTGGAGGAGAAACGAAAGCAGAGGATGAGAGAGGAAAAAGTGAGCTTTTATTTTCAGCATTTTCTGTTTGCACTGCAAAAAATTGAAATCTAAATAAGTCATTTTTGCTCAAATTAAGTGCATTTTTTCTTGAATTGAGGAGGTAAGTGAGACACTTTGCCAATGGAACAAGAAAATTTACATTTAAAATAAGAAAAAAAATATTGCTTTCTCTTATTTCAAGTGTATATTATCTAATTATCTTATTTTAGGAGTAAAAATACAGATCATCTTATTTACCTGCTCAAAATAAGGGTAAATACACTTAATTTAAGACATTTTTTACTTATTTCTAGATGGTTTTTTTGCAGTGTGCATTCAACAACTAAAAACAAGGCTTAGATTTTTATTTTGTCTAAATGAAGGAGCGGCATGAAACTACAGTGCGCAAGACAATAGAGAGGAGCCAAAAGGCCCAGCAGCACCTCAGTCAAAGTTCAAGAGGCAGGAAGCCCAATAAGAATGGTATGAGAGATACATGTGCCCTCTCCTCTCAGCTTCTTTTAACAGCTTGTCTGCACAACCCACATTTAATATGTGCTGATTAAAAAGTGTTGCAAAAGGCAATGGCTCTAGGAATGTCTTATCTGTTGCTTTTGCCCTACTAAAAACTCTACACTGATCAATACACCAGCTCCACGTCGCTTGCCTCTGACAACATGGGAGAGGAATCTGGTCAGTCGCCTTCTCACCCCCACATGTTCTTATCTGGCTAGGAGCAAGAGTGCAGCTTGTAGGTCTGGAGAAGAAGGTATACCCCTCCTTTCAAGGAAGTCCTCACTGCTTTAACCCTTTCACTGCTATGAGAAACTTTCTGAGCTCACTGACGCTGCTGTTTTCCTTCATGTGTGTCATCATTTTTCAACACATTATGTTTCTCCACATTTCTTAACACTGGCTCAGTTGTCCATGTTTGTCGCCGTGCAGTTTCATGCCACCCATCGAATGCCATCCCTTCCCCTAACATCATCACACCCAAACTCCGACATCAGTCACTTTCAGTCCCCCGCAGGCCGCCTCCATCACCCTGTTCCAATAACAGACAGCAAAGAAACATCAGCCCTGCACAGGTAATTCTACCCACCAAATTATTCCTGCCACATTCTTTTTATTTTCTTCCCCTTTTAGGTACGACGAGTACAACCACAAACCTTAATGTTGATAAACCAACACAAAGTAGTTCTGTAAGGTGGAGAGAAAAAGGTTTAATAGGCAGTGAAAGTTTAAACAAAGATTTTTTAAAGTGAAACGTGTATTTTTATCCAGCCAAGTCAACTCTACTCCCTGAATAAAAACCGGCATAGAGTTGTCTAAGTGGTGGTGGGATCAAGACGTGGTTGGGACGCCCTTTAAGTTGCAGGAGTAGTGAAACTGGTTAGAGTTGATGGGAGCAAATGGAGCTAAATCCATGCAAACGGAAATGAGCATGCAATGGTTAATATCCAGGCATACTTATATTAGAACAGCCTTAACAAAGATCTAAATCCAAATGAGAATTTGCTTCGAAACTGAATATTCAGATAAGAAAAATGGGCAAATATTCCATTTCTAGATATGCAAGATCCATAGAAACAACCCAAAGGGCTCTCACTGCGGTCAGAGGTTGGTGAATTGTTTGGGGTCATGATTAGAAAAAAAACACACTTTTTATTTTTTAATCTGTAAGACACTTTACCTTATTGTTGGTCTACCACGTAAATTTCAAATGCAATGTGTGAAGTTTTTGGTTGTAACATAACAAAACGGGGAATAAAGTGTGAATATGTAGGCACTATATTAGCTCATTTTTAGGGTATTACTTAAAAATGGAGCATCTGTGTCTTTACATTTTAGTTAAAGGAATAGTATACCCAAAACATGATTAGCCTTCATTTTCTACTCACCCCCATGCTGAACAACACTCTGGAGTACTTTTTTGATATCTCAAATGCATCTGGAGATCTGGGAGGCTTCTTGCTGTCTGCTGACATTCAAATAATGGAGGTCTATGGTGCCCGAGGCAGAAAGGTCCATAAAAGTCCACAAAAAACGTGTCAATATTCCTCCATACTGCTCGTTCAATGTATTCCAAGTGTCCTGAGTGGGTAGCGTCCATAATTTACTCGAAACGAAGTCATTTAGAATGTTTTTAGAGCATAAACAGTATTGTATATGATGTCCTGAAAGCGCGCGCCTGCGCGTTCAGGACGCTACGGAAGCCGGCAGACCAAACCAGATGAAAGTGCGCATTCAGCGTCTGCTCTGCCGATAATGCAAGCGTAGAAGAAGAAATGTGCTGTTTACCTGTGCAAAGAAAAGAAACAACGAAAGAAAAATGTCTGAGGATTTCAGTGTTGAGGAAGAGCAGGAGTTCTTTGCCGAGCTGAATGCGCACTTTCATCTGGTTTGGTCTGCCGCGGTTTCCGTAGACTCGTGAACGCGCTTTTAGGAAATCTTATACACTACTGTTTATGCTCTAAAAACATTCTAAATGACTTCGTTTCGAGTAAATTATGGACGCTACCCACTCAGGACACTTGGAATACATTGGACGAGCAGTATGGAGGAATATTGACACGTTTTTGTGGACTTTTATGGACCTTTCTGCCTCGGGCACCATAGACCTCCATTATTTGAATGTCAGCAGACAGCAAGAAGCCTCCCAGATCTCCAGATGCATTTGAGATATCAAAAAAGTACTCCAGAGTGTTGTTCAGCATGGGGGTGAGTAGAAAATGAAGGCTAATCATGTTTTGGGTGTACTATTCCTTTAATACTGGATAATTGAGAATCTAACTTCTTGTTTTTTTTCCGGTTTTAGATTAAAATAGTAAGACAACAGGAAATCATGAAGAAAATCCCGAACAATGGCGGAGCGAAAAGATCAAATGTTTCTGCCAGTAACGGCGTGAAGCCAGCTACCCCTACTCAAAGCAGAGCAGCCTCCCCGTCACCCGACAGGTAGGTAAATATCTCAGCTTCATGATTATGTTGCATAAGTAAACTAATAATCCTCTCTCCGGTTTGATTCTTAAGGAGCCCCAGTAGACCAATCAGCAGACACTCCACCCCAATACATTTAGAGCTCCCAGCTGTTCCTGAGGAAGATGCTAACGTCTGTGGCTCGTCAGTCTCTGTCGGTAATTCAGGGCCCATCAGTGCACCGGATAAATGTCCAAAACAGACACAGAAAAAAGAAAAACTCCCAAAAACGGAGCCTTTAAAGCCTTCTGGGAAACAGAGAGACATCTCGCCCAGAATAGCAGCAGAAGGAAGTAAGCTGAGAAATTCTTACAGCTACATTTTTTAAAACTAGATCCCAGTAATTATTATGATTTTCTTTACACCCTTTAAGCTCCCCAGCCCCCGGAGGTCATGATCCGCCTTTCAGCCGGTACCACTGACCCTAAAGAGGCCTCGAGACTTCTGGCTGAAAAGAGGAGAGAGGCCAGAAGACAACGGGAGAAAGAGGCGCAGGAGCGTTTGCAGAGAGAGGAAGCTGAAAGGCAAAAAAAAAAACTTAATATCTTACAGAAATACTATAGGAGGCAAAGCGACCAGTGTGACGGTTTATAACTTCTGTTCAGGCGGAATCATGAAGAGCAGGCTCGACAGGAGGCCGAGGCCAAGCGTCTGGTAGAGGAGAAGAGAAGAAGGGAGGAAGAGGAGCAGAGAAGAGCTGAAGAGGAGCGAGCTCAGGCTAAAAGAGAGGCTGCCCTTCTTCAGAAACAGGTACCAGAAAAAAACACTTCAGGAGAATCACTCCTCTAATGCATGAACTGTTCGGTTATTTTGTAACCATGTTAACCATGTAATAATGCCTATCTGCATTTTACACAGAGAGAGGAGGAAGCAGCTAAAGAGAGAGCACGAGTTGAACAAATGAAGCAAGAGAGAGAGATGGCGGCACAGAAAGAGGAGGCGGAGCGCCAAGTCAGGAAAAAGGTCTGCTTCTTCAGAAACTGGGTTGAAAATATTCAGTGCCTATATAAAGTATTTATTCTGTGAACCTTTACACATTTTTATGCATTAAGAATAACAAAGAAAGCAATTTCAGTTGGATCCTATAAGATCCAACTGAAATGGATGAGGAAGTAATCCATGGAGCACACAGTCCATTAAGTTCTGGAGAAACTCCCCAAGTCATTTGGGATTAAGGGAATTGTGTTCAGTGCATACTCTGAAAACGCAGAGTGAGGCATCACTCCAAACAAGCTGACAGTCACTCTGGAAGAGCTGTAGAGATCCACTGCTCAGGTGGGAGAATTTGTTGCAGGAGAGCTGTTCTTAGACTGAAGAGCCGGAAGAAATGCAATCACTGTATCAAAGCTATTGAGCTGCACAATTATCATAATTGCACATTTCTAATCTAATTGACATATGACTGTTCAGTTTAAAGGAATAGTACACCCAAAACATGATTAGCCTTCATTTTCTACTCACCCCCATGCTGAACAACACTCTGGAGTACTTTTTTGATATCTCAAATGCATCTGGAGATCTGGGAGGCTTCTTGCTGTCTGCTGACATTCAAATAATGGAGGTCTATGGTGCCCGAGGCAGAAAGGTCCATAAAAGTCCACAAAAAAACGTGTCAATATTCCTCCATACTGCTCGTCCAATGTATTCCAAGTGTCCTGAGTGGGTAGCGTCCAGAATTTACTCGAAACGAAGTCATTTAGAATGTTTTTAGAGCATAAACAGTAGTGTATAGGATTTCCTAAAAGCGCGCGCCTGCGAGTTCACGACGCTACGGAAACCGCGGCAGACCAAACCAGATGAAAGTGCGCATTCAGCTCGGCAAAGAACTCATGCTCTTCCTCAACACTGAAGTCCTCAGACATTTTTCTTTCGTTGTTTCTTTCTTTGCACAGGTAAACAGCACATTTCTTCTTCTACGCTTGCATTATCGGCAGAGCAGACGCTGAATGCGCACTTTCATCTGGTTTGGTCTGCCGCGGTTTCCGTAGCGTCGTGAACGCGCAGGCACGCGCTTTCAGGAAATCCTATACACTACTGTTTATGCTCTAAAAACATTCTAAATGAATTTGTTTCGAGTAAATTCTGGACGCTACCCACTCAGGACACTTGGAATACATTGGACGAGCAGTATGGAGGAATATTGACACGTTTTTTGTGGACTTTTATGGACCTTTCTGCCTCGGGCGCCATAGACCTCCATTATTTGAATGTCAGCAGACAGCAAGAAGCCTCCCAGATCTCCAGATGCTTTTGAGATATCAAAAAAGTACTCCAGAGTGTTGTTCAGCATGGGGGTGAGTAGAAAATGAAGGCAAATCATGTTTTGGGTGTACTATTCCTTTAAACATGACAAAGCACCCTGTCAGGAATACATGTTAATTTACCGAGTCTGTCTCCCTGCAGCGAAAGGCCAAACCTCACAGACTTGACCAAATCAAGGACACTGAATGTCTCAATGACTGCTGGGAAGTATTTTAATACAAAAATGAAAGACAGCAAAGTAAGGTTCAAAGTGAGTTTACTACAACTAACATTGTGATGACAATGTTTCTGATGCTCAATGTTTTCTAACACTGAGCTCGAACAAGAGCTCCTGTCAAAGCAGGGATATGAAAGATGGGTATACAGGTGCTGGTCATAAAATTAGAATATCATGAAAAAGTAGATTGATTTCAGTAATTCCATTTAAAAAGTGAAACTTGTATATTATATTCATACATTACATACAAACTCATATATTTCAGATGTTTATTTTGTTTAATTTTGATGATTACAAATGACAACAAATGAAAATCTCAAATTCATCATATCAGAAAATTAGAATATTGTGAAAAGGTTCAAAATTGATGGCCCCTGGTGCCACACTCTAATCAGCTAATTAACTCAAACCACCTGCAAAAGCCTTTAAATGGTCTTTCAGTCTAGTTCTATAGGCTACACAATCATGGGGAAGACTGCTGACTTGACAGTAGTCCAAAAGACGACCATTGACACCTTGCACAAGGAGGGCAAGACACAAAAGGTCATCGCTAAAGAGGCTGGCTGTTCACAGAGCTCAGTGTCCAAGCACATTAATAGAGAGGCGAAGGGAAGGAAAAGATGTGGTCGAAAAAAGTGTACAAGCAAGAGAGATAACCGCACCCTGGAGAGGATTGTGAAACAAAACCCCTTCAAAAATGTGGGGGAGATTCACAAAGAGTGGACTGCAGCTGGAGTGAGTGCTTCAAGAACCACCACACACAGACGTATGAAAGACATGGGTTTCTGCTGTCGCATTCCTTGTGTCAAGCCACTCTTGAACCACAGACAGCGTCAGAAGCGTCTTGCCTGGGCTAAAGAGAAACAGGACTGGACTGCTGGTGAGTGGTCCAAAGTCATGTTCTCTGATGAAAGTAAATTTTGCATTTCCTTTGGAAATCAAGGTCCCAGAGTCTGGAGGAAAAGAAGAGAGGCACTTCATCCACGTTGCTTGAAGTCCAGTGTAAAGTTTCCACAGTCAGTGATGGTTTGGGGTGCCATGTCATCTGCTGGTGTTGGTCCATTGTGTTTTCTGAGGTCCAGGGTCAACGCAGCCACATACCAGGAAGTTTTAGAGCACTTCATGCTTCCTGCAGCTGACCAACTTTTTGGAGATGCAGATTTCATTTTCCAACAGGACTTGGCACCTGCACACAGTGCCAAAGCTACCAGTACCTGGTTGAAGGACCATGGTATCCCTGTTCTTAATTGGCCAGCAAACTCTCCTGACCTTAACCCCATAGAAAATCTATGGGGTATTGTGAAGAAGAAGATGCAATACACCAGACCCAACAATTCAGAAGAGCTAAAAGCCACTATTAGAGCAACCTGGGCTATCATAACACCTGAGCAGTGCCACAGACTGATCGACTCCATGCCACGCCGCATTGCTGCAGTAATACAGGCCAAAGGAGGCCCAACTAAATACTGAGTGCTGTACATGCTCATACTTTTCATGTTCATACTTTTCAGTTGGCCAACATTTCTATAAATCCTTTGTTTTTATTGGTCTTCAGTAATATTCTAATTTTCTGATATGATGAATTTGAGATTTTCATTTGTTGTCATTTGTAATCATCAAAATTAAACAAAATAAACATCTGAAATATATGAGTTTGTATGTAATGTATGAATATAATATACAAGTTTCACTTTTTAAATGGAATTACTGAAATCAATCTACTTTTTCATGATATTCTAATTTTATGACCAGCACCTGTAGATAAATTTGAGGCTATCCTGGAAATGTAAAAATAAATTAAAGCGGCAAAATAAATTTGTTTAACGAATTCCAAAAGACATTGAAGCTTTAAATGTAGCTAAGTTAAATTTTGGTGCAAGCCTAAAGTAATTCTCTAAACTGCTGAGCAAGTTGGGCTGAAGATGAAAGTGCCAGACACGATTTTCAGAGTTTTGCTTGTTGGAAAAAAAAACATAAAAATAAAAACCCCACTGTCCTTAAACCTCACAATTATGAACTACTTTGTGTTTCTTCTATCTTATAAAAAAAACCCATTGAACATAAGACTGCAAAAACATGTTCAGGGAGCGTGATTTCTTTTGCAAAGCATTTGTAAGCAATGAAAAGATAAACATCAAAATCAGAAATTTCTGCTGTTTTGATTCAATGTTGTCTTTTCCAGCGACTTGAGGAGATCATGCGGAGAACCAGGAGGACAGATTCCCCAGATATGGTGCGTTTTACTGAATCTTAGCTTCTCAGAACAGAACACAGCCTCGGGTCTCTTGTGACTCACATTCACTGTCGGCTCATTAAAAGCGTTTTAGCCTTGAATAAAAGGTTGAATAACGTATTAATCACAGAATTCTGCCTCGCCGACGACCCTACCGAATGAAAACACGGAGCCTCCACATAACGGAAGGATAGAGGACCCCAACAAGACGCCGTCGGGGACTAAAAGCACACAGCTGGGGTTAGGCAAAGAGGACGACGTGGTGCCCGTCGTGGCCTTCAAGGAACGGAGATCCCTCAGAGCGCTTTCTGGTCTGGAGGAAATCCAAACCAAACAGAGAGCAGGTGAGGACAAACAAAAGACAAAAAAAAACTGTCCATTTGATTGAACCTGATTATTTCAATCAGGATTCAAGTCTTTGATAATAATGTTTCTGAATGTTTTCTCTCCCCGGCGTCTTTTAGAAGTCATCTGAGCTCCTCCTGAGGCCTCTGCTATCCAGGGAAGTCATCAAAGAGCTGCGATTTGTCTGCAAAGCTACTAAATCAGCACAGCCATTCTGCTACCTTTCGGCGCTTTTACAAAACATGTAACGTTACAGCTTAGCCTCTCTGTGAGGATGTCTGCAATAGCCAGCAGCACAGCTGTTCAGCACAGTTATGGCAAAGACGTCTCTTTGCAGCAGGGTTTAAATCCAATACACTCAAAATGGGGTTTAGCTTTACTTTGTGCTTCTACAGTAGTTTGTTAGTGGATATAATGAATCTGAGAGAATAGCCATTTTATCAATAAGAGCTTGTCCAGTTATTTTTAGCTTTAACCTGCTTACTCAGCACTTTTCCTTAACTAGTTTTTTCTCAGTGGAACTTGAATAAATGAAGATGCAGTGTGCGCTAAATGTGCTGCTAAACTAGAACTTGCTGCGTTACAATCTTTACCTTGAACTTTTGTAAAATAGAGCAATCGTATATAAAAGCCGCAACAACAGACATGGGTTCCAAAGATAGGCTTTAATTCTGGTTTTAGAGGTAAAAATGAGAAATGCCTTGTTTGCAGTCACAGTTGCTTCAATAGTGTGCAATTGCAGAGAAAAAGCTTATAGCTTTAGAATGGGTCTTAAAACAGTAAAAATGCATAAAATGTGTAACTTAAACTTGATCCAATACTGTTAGCTTTATAAAATGTTAAACTGTATGGTATGTATATGATTAAAGCTGATGCCACACCCTTGTCCTTTTCTGCTTAAGTAAAAAAAACATAAAATATAAAATTGTTCTTGTTTTTAAAAAAAAGCTGAATAAAAATAGGTTTTTCAAAACATTGCATAAAAGTAAACACCTCACTGCATGAAAAGTGGGATTTTCGTCAATATACGGCACTGTAGATTGTCGTGGAACTTCAGGTTAGCGGCAGTTTACGACAATTTGCAGGCTTCGACGAAAACTCCCGTAAATTGTCAGAAATTGACGTGGAATTTCTTAGGCAGTGTTCCCCCCATGCCTCCCCCCCATGGAATTCTAGGGGAGGCTTTAACATGTAAATGAACATGCTGTGAGCTAAACAAATGCAAACCAGGGTTGCAGGGGGGGTTTTACCCCCCCCCTGCAACCCTGGGTAAGAAAATCTCTGATACAAAGAGATCAGGTATAGCCTCTTACATTTTAGCTTGAATTGATTTATTTAATTAAAGTATAGAGACCAAAACAGATCTTTAGCTGACAGAGCAATACATTTAGAGCAGTAATTATTTTTTTTTTAATTTGCATTTAAGATAAAAAATAAAATGTTGTCTGTCAATATGCTCAATTCACAATTACTTAAGTGGAAAAGTTTCAAGAAATGATTCTGAGATGATTCACTTTATAACATGGCGCATTATCCTGTTGGAGGTAGCCATCAGAAGATTGGTACACTGTGGTCATAAGGTCATAGGTCAGCATGCTAAATTGGTTTTAAGTGGCCCAAAGTGTGGCAATAAATATCCCCCAAATAGATGGTAGAAATAGATCAGGCTCAGTATAGCCTAATTATAGACTCTTACATTTTAGCTTGAATTGATTTATTTAATTAAAGTACGCTAGATTACTGTGTATGCAAATGTTATGTAAAAAAAAATACACAAAATAATTTACTTCAAAAATTAGTTTTAATCAGAATCAGTTGGCTGTAATGGTTAATTTTTTTTTTTAGATTTCCACTTTTTTTTTTTGTTATTGAATATATAAGAAAACAATAACAATCTCAAATAACAAGTCAATAACAAATATTTCAATACAAGAAGAAATATCACAACTCCTGCTTTTGAAAAATAAAATTAAATGCACAGGCTGGAACAAAGTATAAAATAAAATAAAATAAATAAAATAATAATAGTAGTTAAAGTAAATTAATCAGTGGGGACTACCAACTGAAATTCTTCAATTAACTCAAACAATTTAATTGCATTTAAATTCTGCATCTTTCTCAGACATCTTTTGAAAAGGGAAAGTTCATTTTTGAGAGCAGAGATTGGGAGGGAGCATTTTGCATAGCGACATTTATGGATATAATACTTTGTTACAATTATTAGAATATTGATTAAAAATTCCAAATTTTTTTTTCTTTAATAGATAAACCGAATTGAATGTTTTGCCAGGAAATAAAATCTAAATTTATTGTTTTAGTTTTTGGGAATATATACAAACTATGCTCTAATTTCTAGATACCGATCTGTTTTTACTATAATTTAATTTGACAAACCGGGTCTTCTCTACATTCTTTTTTCTGTTTGGTGCGATTGCAATAGCGGGTCTTGATCTGGACGGACCGGAGGGGAGCAAAAAATAGCTCAGCTCCGTATTTTGACGGTGAAGGACGGAGAAGACGTACGTGGGCGGTGACGAGCGGAGGATGTGGAACAGCTCTCATTGATTTACATGACAGACAAGTAATACAGATAGTAGGATGGACATTTTATTAGAAATAAATCATACACTGTTCAGAATACGAAACATGGGGCTGATAGTTACATTTGTGTGGGTTCCAGCACATATTGGGGCGGAAGGAAACGAGAGGGCAGATAAAATGGCAGAAAGGGCAATTAAACATTCTATTAGTTTTATAGTTAAAATAAGTAAATCAGAAGGAAAGAGTATTATTAAAGAGAAACTTATGGAAATTTGGCAAAAAAGGTGGGATGAAGATAAAACAGGAAGATGGTTTTATAAAATTCAGAAGATGGTAGGAGAAAGAAGAAATGGAAGAAGAAATAGAAAGGATGAAAGAGTGATAACAAGGTTAAGATTTGGTCATACAGGACTTAATCATACACTTTTTAAAATACAAAAACATAAAACGGGCAAATGTGATTTCTGTGATAAATATGAAACCATAGAACATGTTATATTAGAATGTCATAAATATGAAAAAGAGAGAAGATATATGAGAAGAGAGTTTGAAGACATTAAGGAGAAGGTTAATTTATTAGATATACTGAGGAAAAATTTAGGGAGTAAACACATACAAATAATTATTCGATTTCTAAAGAAAACGAAATTATTCCATAGAATTTAATTATAGTAAGTGTGTTTGTGAGTGAAGGAATGATATACAAAGCTGTGCACAAATATGTTTATATTTTTAAGTGTGAATGTTTGAATGTATGTTTAGAAGAAGTTAGGGTAGAATGTATCAGGATCAATATTTAAACCATCACGAACCACACTCCATACCAGTAAGTGGCGGTAATGCTACTAACAGTTTGTTGCCAACCGCCATAAAACTCGACAAGAAGAAGAAGAAGACAGACAAGTACTCCGTACGTGAGCGGGGCGGAGCGCTGACGGAGTATGTGGAATCTGGGGGTAAAGGAGGACAAATACACGTCCGGCTGGGTGCAGCGCCGGACGCCGGACAGTGCAATGAAAATCCGGACTGTCCGCCCTAAAGCCGGACATCTGGCCACCCTATCTGCAGTCGAGCAACTTTGCGGGATATATACGAACTCGAGGAAGAGAAGACGGGTGCACAACGCCACGCTAGCGGTAAATATGTTCGATTACTGGTAGCTATGCTAAAAGCAGCCTAGCTTAGCTAGGCAAGCTAAAGACAACCTAGCCTAGCTAGGTAAGCTAAAAGCAGCCTAGCCTAAAGCTTTACTAAAGTGTATTTTTTGTGATTCACAGGAAGCATTATGCCGTCTTAACAACTCGGAGACTAATTGCAGGCGCTATGAACCGGCAGGGGTAAGGTTTAAAGAATATGCTTTCATTCTGCGGTAAAAGGACATGGATACGGATGGATACCGACCATAGCTGTACTTTTTTTTTTCTTTCACAGACTACAGTCGCCTCACAATGAGGCGGTGACCTCCTATTTGTTTGGATTTGCACGATGTTGATAAAGACGACATTGTGTGTAAGTGACTTGTTTTAATGTTTTCTCCTTCCTTGTTACTGTGACTTGCGTTTGATTTTTTTGATTTTTTTATTCATACCACTCTCATTTAATTGTTTTCCAGCTGCCTGTAAGACGTATTATGAGACGGTATGCAGGAGCTTCAGATACACGTTGCTAGCCAGCACGCTGCGTGCGGAGGCCGCCAGGCTATCTGCTCGGAGTCGGGCCAGACGAAAGAGGGTAAGACTTTATTTGGTGACTATTTTTCAGGTGCATTGATAGATGTGTTGTGTCAATATGCAGTGCGCTGATTCATGTTTTTTTTTTTTTCAGCTGCTGAAGGCGAGGCAGAGTGTGCTGGCAGATGAGGAAGTGGAACTCTGTAAGTCCGCCACCGTCGACCTCATGTCCGACGAAGAAGATGGCGTCGTCGGCGGTGTCTCTGGATGGATTGTACGGTCGCCGCCATTTCGTAGGCCGGATCTCACTGAACTCTGTGTTAAGCTGCAGTCCCGGTTAGAAGCGATGTCGAAGTACAAGGCCACGCACAGTATGCGTCTGCACATCGGACCTGCCTCGGAGGGAATGCTGCCAGTTACCTCCAACCCCGAGGAAGCAAACGGACCGTTCACGGAGTTGTAATTTTTAGATACGCATGTGTTTGGATACGCGTTGTATATAGTTGTGTGTGTTTTAATAAAGCTCTTTCTTTGCATAAACAGCTTCCTGGCAAATGTTCATTTCCTGTATAAATTCATTCATGTCCTTGATGGTAGCATAATAATTGTGTAGTAGTGTAGGATAACATAAATACACAGCATATGAACGAAATAAATATATGAATATATATATATATGAATGAATAAATATATATATATATGAATAAATATATATATGTAAATATATATATATGCCAACCAATCACGAGCGACTTCACTTGTTTAAAAAGAAGTGGTTCCGTCCAATACTCAGTAAGAAAATTAAAGCCTGGCGTGGCCACGTGTGGTTTTGCTGCCAATCACGAGCGATTTCATTTGTTTGAGAATAGTGGTTTCAGCCAATACTGAGAAGGTTATTCAAGCCAGACCTGGCCAGCCGCGCGGGTTTGCTGCATTCATATGCTAATTAGGGCCATTAGTACAGCTGATCGCTATCCACATACGTCACTGTCCGTTTCCGACAATTTGTGGCACGACAAACGCGGACAAGCACGGGTTGCAAATTGTCGGAAACTGACGAAAATCAGGCAGATCTGCGGGAGTTTACGGGGGTTTACGGGGACGAAAATCTCACTTTTCATGCAGTGCCTCGTACTTTCTGTACGATGTACAGAGCAGGTCAAGGGAAAGGTGACCCAGGTGATGGAGAGGGAGGCTGAATCATTTGCAGCAGCTGTCGCATCTCCTCCGTCTGTGCATGAAGGTTCCAGAGCTGAGCCTGCAGCTCACCATCAGTCTCCATAGTTAAAAACTCTCCATCTGCAGAGGAACAGGTTTTAAACTGCTGAAAGGCAGATTCAATCTTTTTTTGATCTCTTTAAAAAGTGTTTATACACTTTTAATTTTACTCATTTTGTTCCATTACAATTTATTTTATTCAGATTCCACGTGGTGAAATAATGCCATGTGGATGAAGCTAAAAATCTGATAAAAAGATACTACTTGTTCACTAACGTTTTTTTTTTAAATATTAAAATTCCGTTACTGGCTGCAAAAGGATTTTATTTCTGTTTGGTTTGCATCACAATTTTGAAAACTTGCCTTTAGCCATATTTATGTTTAAGCATTTAGCAGATGTTTTTATCCAAAGCGACATACTAAGTAGACACAATTTTTTTTAAGTTCTCATGTACTGCTTTGTTGAAGTAAATCACATAAAATCTAATA